TTAAAGACATGGGAGTGGCAACATATCTGATAGTCTTGATGAGGAATCCTTACTCTGGACAAGAGGCTACTGTCAGAACAGAACACAGAGAAATAGAATGGTTCCCAATTGGGAAAGGAATCAGACAAGGATGCATTCTATTTATCTTATATGCAGAACATATTGTAAGGAAAGCAGGCTTGGACATGGAAGAGGGAGGAGTGAGAATAGGAGGAAGAAATATCAACAATCTGTGATATGCTGAAAACACATAATACCAGCAGAAAACCCCAAAGACCTGGAACAACTACTAAGGAAGATCAAAGAAGGAAGTCAAAGGAAGGCTTACTGTTGAACATAAAGAAAACAAAAATAATGACCACAGAGAACTTACACACATTCAAACTAGACAATGAAGAAATAGAAATAGTAAAAGAGTTCTCATATCTGGGATCAAACATTGATCGGAATGGGGACTGCAGCCAGAAAATCAGGAGAAGATTAAGAATGGGGATGCCAGCTATGAAAGAACTAGAAAAGATCCTAAAATGCAAAGACATGCAACTCAGGACAAAAGTCAGAATCATACAAGCCGTCGTATTCCCTGTTACCATGTATGGATGTGAGAACTGGACTGTTAAGAAAGAAGATAGGATGAAAATCAACGCATTTGAGATGTGGTGCTAGAGAAGAATACTGAGGATTCCATGGACAGCCAAAAGGACAAACAAATTGGTCCTAGAAGAGATCAAGCCAAATATATTCCTAGAAGCCAAGATGACAAGACTTAGGTGCTCTACAGATAGTACCTAAGGGGTGGCTCCATGCTGCCCCTTTGAGCGCCATATTGGGGCCACGGCAACTGCATGCCGTGGCCCTGATCCAGTACTTTGCTGCTCCAAAAAGAGCTGGCAAATACAGCTCCTTTTTAGAGCAGCAAAAAGCCACCCTTGCTGCCACAGTGGCAGCTTTTCTGCATTCCTTTGTGTGTCTGTACATTGTGCCAAAGGAGCACCCTGATGCCACCTGCCATGAGGTGGGGCATGAGGTGTGATGGTGGCATCAAGGAGGAGTCAGGGCAGAGGTGTGCAGTTGCCATGCCCCAACTCCACCCCCACACCAGCCCTTTTGGCCACTCTGTACAGGGCATTAGACTGTTGTACTTTGGACACATCATGAGAAGGCATGAATGGTTGGAAAAGACAATAACGTTAGGAAAGGTGGAGGGAAGTAGAAAGAGAGGAAGGCCACATGCTAGATGGATGGACTTTATTAAAGAGAGCACAAATATGAGTTTTCAGGAGCTGGACAGAGCAGTAGAGGATGGGGGGCTTGGAGATGTCTCATCCATAGAGTTGCCATGGGTCGAGATCAACGCGAAGGCAGTTAACAACAACAAATCCAGGTTAACAGCATAATCCTGGTCCATCCAAGGGAAAGCTAAAGGTTCCTAGGACTATTCCTACTATGGTTAACTTTGGAACAGTGTTGCAGCTGTATCTCTGGTTGCACTAGGTTTGGTTCTGGCCTAATTTGGCTCCTCTTTCACACCTTCTTTCTATACCTTCTTCTCCCTACCTCCCATCTTTTGCAGATAGATCATAACCATCTGAGCAGTTCTGCTTTCACACTAGACTCTTTGAAATGAGATCAGCAGATTCTGTCAGAAGGACATTTCTTGTGTCAGGCTTATGCTTAATCCTAACCCTCTATAACTGGTGCATCTTTCATCTAGGACTGCATTGTAAGTCTTGATCTAGCCCATTGTTTGCTGCATCCTAGGAACCTGAAAACTGTGGGACACGCTGTTGGAAAAAAATGATTAGGAAAATTTAACAGTAAAATTAGATGGCCTTTAAAGAGACTGTAGCTATAGTTTTATTCTAATTCCTGAAAAAATTCTATGTTCTTAGAAACAGGATTGCAGTTAAAATATATTGATGGCTTCATTAATAAAAACATCAACTGTTGTTGGAAGAAAGCCAATTTGGTAAAATAATTACAAAAGAAACGCAACATGTGGTATCTAAAATATATAAAAATTTATTGGAAAGATATATGGAAGATGAGACAATAAAACAATTTATTATTTCTTGGCCGCAAGAAATCAACAAACATATTATGATGGAGGAATGGGAAAAAAATTGGAAACGAAGAATAAAATACATGTTAAGCCAAGATGTGAGAGAAAATTACTACAAAATGCAATTTAAATGGTACTTAACTGCTGAAAAAATTTCAAAAATATATAAATTAAAAAAAGATACCTGCTGGTACTGTGAAAAAGAAAAGGGCACATACATACATATGTGGTGGTATTGTGACAGGGCCAAAAGATTCTGGACTCAAATACTAAATGAGATAACCAAAATCATAAAAATGAAACTGGATTTTGATCCAACAACGTTTCTGCTTGGTATGGTAAATAATACAATAGAAGAAAAATACAGGAAGATAATCTTTTATATGCTATATGCTGTTAGAGCTGTTTATGCTAAGAAATGAAAAGACCAAGCAGATCCGTTAATTAAGGACTGGCAGATTAAACTATTCGATGTGATGGAGTTAGATAAATTAACTTATGCTATAAGGGATCAAAAAATTTGAAAAGGAATGGATACCGGTCACCCAATATTTATCTAACATATAGTCATAATGAACTACCATTAAGTTTAGAGACACAATTATTTTGTGTAATAGAATAGATGTTCAGGTTGGTACAAATATTTTTTAAAAAATGGCAATGAATTGATTTAGAAGTAATAGTACTTGAGTGTCAGTTAAAAAGAATATGATGGGTATATGATTATCAACAAACATATTTAAATATATATTTCTTATGATTTTACAAGGAAAAGTGATAT